ATCTTTTTTTAACAAAGCGCGGATCACCATTCGCGCTTTCACGGAATTTTGTCCGAACTGACGTCACGCAAGAGAAGACACATATCATGAAGTGTGTCTTACATAAGAAATGTTGATATGGCGTCAATTGTCTTTCAAGGTCCACATCATCCCTAAAAGTATTTTAAAAACTATGTTTTAAAAAAATTAAAAAATAAAATTATAGGGACTAATATCGTAATTCAATACATATTAGTTTAATGAGTTGAATAACTTAATGAGATTAACTTATATAGACATATTAGAGTGTTTATGTTATGTTTCATGACAATATCGGATAAAAACTAAAAAATGTATTCCTTAACTTTTTTATCTTTATATCTAATGAATCTATTTACGTGCGGAGGGTAATCCGGGCTTTGTCAGAAAAAAAATGCTAAATAGATAATATTAAAAGAGATAGTGTCAGACAGATAATTAATGGGTTTGAGAGTGATATTTCGGTAAAAACGCTTTTTTTTCATTTGTAGACCGTAAACTTAAGAAATGACTGACCTGAGCTTTTTAAAATTTAAGTGTAATTCTCAATAAATAAATAAATAAATAAATTTGAACTCTTTTACAGCTAAATAAAGAAAAGAAAATTAGTAGTCTACTTTCGCTATCACCTGCCGATTAAACTCCCCAAAAAAGAAAAGTTGGTCTTTGATCTTCGCATCCTTTAAGCTATCATCGAAAGGTAGATGCTCATCTTTTTTAGTTTTCCGTCAAATTGGGGTTTTGTTCCGATCGCTAATTTTGATGATTGCAGAAAATGATTATGTATCCATTCAGCTTCGCTTATTTTCTCTTCACTTTTAAATATTTGCTCTCTGTTTGGCAGTTTCAGTTGATATTTCGTTATTGATTATTTTCCGGTTTACGTTAATCGGAATCGATGCCTTCAGCCGTGTCATCGCAGCAGTGGCAAGAGAAGGCGACTGGTTTTTTTTCTTCCTCGGGTACCTTTTACAGTCAATTATTCATTTTATTATTTTTATCTTGTCTTTTTATGTTGTTGCAACATTAGCCTTTTATCGAATTTCGAATTTTTATTGCAGGGGCGAAGCTGAAGGAAGCTAGCCAAACAGCCGGAACGTTTGTCGGAGAAGTAGCCAAGGATGCCAAAGGCAACGTCTCTGACGTGGCCGAACGATTTGGTTCCATGGTCAAAAACCGATGGACGATTCTCCGGCAGCCCGCGACGAGGCATGCTGTGCAAGAGAGTCTTATATGCGCGGCTGCAACGACTGGAACCCTTCTGAGGAAAGGCATCACCGGGACTAAAGACAAGGTTGTTGTAGGGAAAACAAAAGTTGAAGAGGTAAAAGATTTTAGCTCTGAAAATAATATTAATTGGTTGTTTTAAACAATTCTTACTCATCACCATATCTTGTTCAATGTATTAGTTACATCTGGAGAGAGGATAGTGTACTATTTAAATTTTGAGTTATCCTGTTTCGTGCGGGATACTTGTCTATGGTGTTATGCTATTGCAATCTTACTTTTTTTTTTTTTATAGCGATTGTTTGTTTTCTAGCCTCTGTCTATTTTCTGTCCAACTTCCTGCTTTGTAGATTGCCGTCCGCTCTGTTCATTACTTGGATAGGTTAAGCTTCTGTTCTTATCAAACTTTAGGTTATGCTAGATAAATCCTTTTTGTACCCTAGGGAAAGGGTGTTAGTTGCTTGTTTGATTTTCCGTTGGGCATCGCTTCTGTTATTGCAAGACTTTCAATTTTCAAGTAACTAATGATTCTGTATTCTTTTCATCTTGTATTTATGATATCGTGTGGTTGACAATGCTGAAAACATGGTATTGATGTTATTGTTGCTTTTCTTGCGGACTAGGCTAACCTAGGCTTCTGCAGATATTATGGTAAAAATGACATGTTGTAATGGTGATTTGTTACAGGTAGCAAAAAAGACGGCACAGAAAAGCAAGATAATTTTGACTGATTTAGAACGTTGGCAGAAGGTATGAGATTGTGTGCTTTACTTTTATTTTTGTTGTTGTTTGTTTTTCAGTCTTTTGTCTTATTACATGCCCTTTCAAGATTTTGAACTCTTACAAAACGTGTTCTATTTGGCTTTTGCAGGGTGTTGCCAGCACTGATGGTAAGTTTTTCTACCTTGGCCTCTGCATTCTCCAAATGGTCACTTCTTTTGGGATCTTTGTCGTTTCCCTTCTCTCTTTATGGACATTTACTGTAGTGCATTGTGCTAGCCCCTCATTTTTTTTGTCTTCAGTATTTGGAGTACCTATTGAGGTTACTGTGCAACGGCAGCAAGCCAGCAAGCCCATCCCTCTGATATTGGTGAAATGTGCAGATTATCTCGTGTTATCAGGTGACTAGGATGAAAATCATCGGCACTTATTTAGCTAATGTTATTGCAGTATAAATTTTCCTTTTTCCAGCAGGTAACATTTGTTTTGACTGTTTTAGGTCTAAATTCTCAATACTTGTTTAAAGATGAAGGAGATAAGAAGGTCATTGAGCAGTTGGTTACTGCATACAACCAAGGTCTCTTGCATGTTATCTGCTTTAATTTGACCATAAATTATTCTATTTGGGTTGCATCTTAATTTGATATGTATATATCACAGATTTTAATGCCTCCATACCAGAGGCTGTGAATCCAATTGATGTGGCAGCTCTAATCAAATATTACATTGCTAGTCTTCCTGAGCCACTGACTACCTTTGAGCTTTATGATGAGATCAAAGGTGCTCGTTCTAGCATTCATGCTATGAGAAACGTACTCAAGAAGCTTCCTAGTGTAAATTACATGACTCTCGAGTTCATTACTGCATTGCTGCTTCGTGTTAGCCAGAAATCAGTCCTTAATAAGGTAGGAGTTCTCTCTCTTTCTGCATCCATGCATTTCCTGTATGAGGGGGTTTTCAGCAAGGTTGGATATAAAAAGTTTATTTCTACAGATATGTGGAAGTTATCATTTAAATTTTGTTAAGTTCAATATTTTGGTTCGTCCTATGCACCACTGATGTGCTAAACCTAACTTGATGATCAAAATGATCTCTGATGAAGTTTTCACGGTTAATTTATTTCTTTGAGGTCGTTGTCAGCATTTTTTAGTCATTGTGAACAAAACACTTATATAAAACTGTTTCCCTTCAAACAGTTGGCTTGCAATTATGAGCCTATTGTGATCTAATAGACAAGTGGCACCTATTAACAGTGTTTTATTGTTGTTTATCTTCCAACAGATGGATGCACGAAGCCTTGCCATGGAAATGTCCGCTGTTATTATGTGGCAGAAGGATCGGAAACCAGACTCGTATAGGAAATACTGGTCTCATCTACGCAGAAGTCCTTCCACTGGTAGCATGGATCCAGCCCCTGCTTATAGTGAATGGGACATGCTTGCTGGTAAATTTTCCTATCAGCTACAATCTATGCATATATCAGTATATTGTATTTTCATACAAATCAGTTCAGGGGTAGTTACACCTAACAAAGTTATAAATAAAATTATGTATATACTTAACAGTGGAATATTAGGTGGAAAATGTTGCTTTATGTTTTACTTTTTCTTTGTTATGGCTACAGATGATGGGGAAGATATGGATGCTTCCTCCCACATTCCTTTAGACGATGCTACGCCGGTCGATTTCGGTGCCATTGAGGTTATTCAATGCCTTATCGAACAACACAATCCCATATTCACGGATGCTAACGAGACGGTCTGGAGATGATCGAAACATTATATCCGGAGTATGAACTTTGGGATTTCATCGAGTTGATTGGTTTGCAGTAGTGAATATTTTTTGTTGGCCGTAAAATCTGGGAAGCACTTTCATTTGTGCCTGTACATTTTAGTCGTTAGTGGAAACTTGTTTGTATTTGAAGATGAAAATGAAATTACCTCAAAGCGACTGCTTTGAACTGAAGTGTTTGTCGGTTTTTCAAGGTCTATTTCAACCCTTTTATGATACATAAAAGGGTAACATAGTGTAATGGATTGGGGTATATTTATTTATTTTTAAAATTTTTCTTTATTAAATGTATTCTAAATTACAATATTTTTATAGTGTAATGGATTGGGTATTTTTTTTAATTCTATAATACTCGAGTTGAATGGCACATGAGCCTAACTGCCTAATTCAACTTTTTTATTAATATATATTTTAAAATTATTAAATTAATTAAACATTATTGTTTTATGTGCATAAGATACATAATTCGAGTTCGAGCTTAAATTTAAAGACTTTATTCAAACTCGAGTAACTAATTCGAGTAACCGATTTATCTCCTCTACAAAAACAGAAGATTCAGGATGATGAACGAAGCTTCAATCAAGCCATTGTCAATGTCATGTCCTGCTATAGACGATGGAGGTTGCGATGAACATCAGATTGTAACAGTTGACGGATTTGGAATAGAAGTGTGTTTGATTGAGAGAGAAGATCCGATCGACGATATCGGAAAAATAACAAAGCCAAAGCGGCGATCGGAGAAGATTAAAACACGATGTAAACTGCCTATAGAACTAAGTGACCCACGAAGTTCGAGTAAACCAATCTTGGACAACATCATGATGATTCATCCAAGGACATCTGTTGTACATTTGCCAATGAATATACATGCAAAGTATTTGTATGACGAGACATTTGTGAAGCTAATAAATGAAGAATTTTGCACGAAAAAGATGACTGGGGATTGTTTCTTTTAATGTCAAAACTCTCCTCACCCTCTGTTCCGTTCCTTGAAACAAGGAGTTTTAAATGAAAACTTGAAAAAAAGACGATACCCATGAAAAAGCGCCAAACTTCAACGGCTGCAAGGCCTCTTTCCTCGAATAGTAAGTCGGGTTGAAGGCATACCAAACCCGAATGCAGTTGACCCAATCTCTCGATTCGGACCTTATAAAAGTAAACGTCAATACAAGTCTTCTCCTTTATTCTCGTCTCTAGATGGTATCTTCTTAACATGAACCTTGGTTTAGGGCTTTAAATTGACTCATTTTCTTTTTTAACAAAAATCGGGTGATTCTTTTTATTATCTCAAAGTTTACATTTATTAATTGTACAATTTGTGTGCTGATACTTGTTAATCTAATTAAATGGAAATAAACGGAGGTCGTTGTAATTCTGGGAATAAATCCCAGGTTGAAGGTGAAATATCCGTTTTGAGTTCGAATTTGTTCTTGGATCACGTTGGAGAGGTTACTCTTACTTTTGATTCTGATGGGTTATCCTGGAAATCGCTTGATTCCTTGGATAATGTAAGTTTTTCTTTCCTTTCTTTTCATCTTGTATACACGAATTAACGTAACTAACATTAGATTTTGATTCTTTTTTCCTTATTATCATAATACCCCTTTCTTGTTTTTTATTACAGTTGTATAATTTTGTTTTCTTGTTCATTTGATCGAAACCCCATCATTTTGTGTGTTTTCTTAAGTTTATTCATTTTGTACTTATTTTGGAGATCTTTGTCTTTCCCTTCTTGAAGTGTATGAGCTTAGATACCCTTTGCTTATTGAGATATTACATCTGGTTATGGTTTAAGAGATGTATGTTTTGATTAAATATATGATACTTTATCATACATTATGGTTTAAAACAGGTTGTTTCAATACATTTTGGTCAACATAAGGATCCTTCACTGTTTTCCCCTTCTTTGAGCTGCGTTTTACACGAAAAGAATATGGTGTTATGGTTGGCTTCTGATGGCTTCTTCATGTTTACTGGAACAGGATGGATCTACATGTTTGGGAATTAAATTTCTTCCTAAAATGGCTACGAAGTTAATAATTTCCGATATCTATGCTGTGGAGTTAATGAATGGTGATGTGATTCAAGAATCGGACCTTACAACGGTTACAGAATGTTTCTTGGGGAGTGAAGATCTTGATTCTGGGGTTTGTTATCATTTCTGTTCTTTTTTGTTCCCATTTCATAGAATGATTATAATTTTCAGTGATTAATTTTCCCTACTGGTGCAGATGAATCACTTTACAGTGCATACTTTTCAAAAGTCCAAGTCTCAGCCTTGCCTTTGGATCTTGGCGGCGTACACGTTTGGTCACAAGGACTTGCAGACCTGTCAAATGTGGGTTAATAAAATTAGTGGTTCTCTACATAAGGAAGTTGGAAGACCAAAGAATCTTCTGGTAGATAACCTCTATAGTTTTGTAAAACTTTTTTTTTCAAGATGTAGTTCTAGTGAAAAATTGAAGAGACTTTAAGGGCAACATCTTTTTCATTTTTTTCTCCCTCAATAAGGTATTTGTTCATCCATTGAGTGGGAAAGGAAATGGGCGGAACACATGGGAAACTGTGGCTCCTATATTTTCGCGTTCTAAAATAAACACAAAGGTAAGCTTCCATAATGAATGCAGGAAGATGTCATTGCATTATTGTCCAACATGATCAAATGTATTTTTCCAGTGATTGTTATGTTTACCAAGTTAAGAATGCATTCAATTTCAGGTGATAGTAACACAGAGGGCAGGACATGCATTTGATGTAATGAGATCTACCACAAACGAAGAGTTGAATTCATATGATGGTGTTCTAGCTGTTGTAAGTTATCTGATACCTGCATGTCCTGATATCATATGCATCTTTCCTCTATCTAAAATAACTATACAAAATAATAGGTAAGTTGCTAACTTGATTGAGAAGATGAAATCTTTTCAATTTGAGGTTCATATTTCGGTTTCTAAGCGGCAAATTAGTTCAAAGCTTTTTGTAAGCTGTAACTGCACTAAATATCCTTACCCCTTGAACTTCATACCATATTCTTTAGTGGGCTTGGTTCTGTTTTCTGTTGTTTAAGCTTGAATCTCTTTGTACACTGGTATTTTTGTTTTTGCAGGGTGGTGATGGTTTCTTCAATGAAATCCTTAATGGGTATCTTTCTTCAAGGCATAAAGCTCCTTTCCCTCCTGTCCCTTCAGATTTTCTTGATGCCCTGGGGAATGATAACAACCCTTTAGTAAACATTACAACTGAAGCAGATTCTGAGAGTCGTAATACCAAGGAGAGTGATCCTCTTCTCTCAGGTTCAGCTCATAATGAATCGGGATTCTCTCATTTGAGTGCGTTACATAATAACTATATTTCCGTAAGAATCAACTTTGTGGTGGTTCTGCTTATCTGGTATAACCATGTTTGCTTCTATTTACAGGAACTAATGATGGCTCTCTCTCTTTAGGTTAGTTTTTACCATACTCTTACTACCATGATAATGGAACACTGTTTGTAACTCTATACATATTGCTGTCGATGGTCTCTTTATCTCATCGACATGTATCAATGCCGTACACCTAAACAAATTTTGTTAATATGCAGATCAACAAATTGAGTATTCGCTCCCTTACCAGAGGCTTAGATTTGGAATAATTCCTGCAGGTTCAACGGATGCTATTGTGATATGGTATATTCTTCCAACCTTATAAACGTTTCTTCATTAGGTTTTCTGCTATTGTTAGACTCAATGTAGTAATGTTAGGTCTGCAGCTTAGAATATGGATGCATGTAGCAGGCTTTTTGAGTGACTATTTGGAATCCTTTTTAGTCGAGGCAGTCCACAGACCTAGCTTTGAAATGTTCTTCTGATATGGACACTGCTCTAAGCTTTGTCATTTTTGCACTAAGTTGCTGCTCGTTGTGGCAAGGAGTGATAGAACGGGAGGGGAAAACATTAAAGAAAGAAGCGACTGTTTACTGGATGATTTCATGCTATATTGATTTCTAACAAAAGCCCTCTTCCTGTGTAGTACTCATTTATAACTGAATGCATTCTAAAGTCATCTTTCCCTTTCAGAGTGCTAGATTTGATGTTTCACATTATGTAGATTGGATACAGGATTTTGTAGCATTTCAAAAATTATTTGCTGTCCTGGTTTCTTTCTGCCTTCAGTATTCCATGTGTTACATTTAGCTCACCTTAGTGTATTACAGACAAGTGTAGGGTCCATTGTGCCATGCAATGGTTTATGTCTCGGGCTGACAGACTTGATAGTCCAAGTCTTAAGAGCTGCATTTATGCTAGGATTTAAGTCATAGGAATCATCTATGGAAACGTAGTGTGCTTTCTAGTGCTGATGTGCTAAAACATAATGTCTAACTGAAAAATATTGGAGCTAATCATGGATGTCATTTATTTTCTACTTGATACGGTTTTGTTGATTTCTTTCTTGCAGCACCACTGGTGCTCGAGATCCAATAACGTCTGCACTGCACATCATCCTGGGTAAAAGGCTGTGCCTTGATGTTGCTCAAGTTGTAAGATGGAAAACTACATCTACCTCAAAGATTGAACCTCTTGTACGCTACGCGGCTTCTTTTGCTGGGTAGTTTCTTATTATAACTAATGCCATGGATATGTGAGAACATTAGCAAATAAATCTTCTGTCTCGAATGTGCTGAATGCATGCATGTTTGCTAATTGAAAGGCATTTTAGTGTGCTCATGTTCTTTTGTCACCCAATCAGTTGTCCACATTGTCACTTTGCAACTCATCAGTGAAATTTATCAGGTATGGATTTTATGGAGATGTTATAACGGAGAGTGAAAAATACCGCTGGATGGGCCCAAAACGTTATGATTATGCGGGAACCAAAGTGTTTTTGAAACACAGGTATATTTCTCGTCATATATATTTTTTAATGAGTTCGTGGATAAATGATGTTAAGTTTCGGTAGCAATGTCATTCAATAAGATAATCAGCTTTGAGAATTTATTCCAATTTATAGTTACAGAAAACTGCATTAAAGTCTGCAATTCGGAATGCTCAGAGGTTTCCCTTCCCTAGGGCATGTCTCTGTAGAATGCATCATCAGTATTCAATAGTTGGCTGATCATGCTAAGTCGTGTTAACCTTTTTTCTTCATGAAGGTCGTATGAAGTTGAAGTGGGATACCTGGCAGTTGAATCTGAAAAAGATAGTTCGACATCAGATGGAAGTAGGATGCTTAGTAAATCACGGAGCTTGAAACGAAAAAAATCTGAGAGAATTATTTGTCGAGCCAATTGCAATGTGTGTAATACGAAGCCAGTTTATTCTCCCTCAAAGAGCACGCCTGCAACACCGTATTCAAGTGCACAAGAAACAAAATGGTTGAAATCTAAAGGGCGTTTTCTTAGCGTTGGGGCCGCCATAATGTCTAACCGAAATGAAAGGGCACCTGATGGTTTGGTGGCTGATGCACACCTTTCAGATGGTTTCCTTCATCTTCTATTAATTAAAGACTGCCCTCATGCATTATATCTCTGGTAATATGGAGCATTCACTCTTTCTTTCGATTCGAGATCTCTTTTTTGTATTGTTTTTGCATAGTTCTTCATCCATGAGAAAAACCATTTTCAGTAATGGATCTTGATCAATACGTACAGGCACCTCACGCAACTAGCAAAGAAAGGCGGAAACCCCCTAAATTTCGACTTTGTGGAGCATCATAAGGTATATCTTGTCGAATCTTATCTTCCCGGTCCCCGGAAGTTTTTGTTGAACCCGTTATATATGTTATTTCCAGACCCCTGCATTTACGTTCACTTCGATCGGCAACGAGAGTGTATGGAATCTGGACGGTGAGCTTTTTCAAGCACATAAGCTTTCAGCGCAAGTATTTCGAGGCCTTATCTGCTTATTCGCGTCTGGCCCCGAAGTTTAGGGTACAAAGGAAACATGGTTTCATCATCAAAGGAGTAGAGTAATTCTCTTTCTACCAACACCGTTTTTGTATGTTACGAAGTTCAGTTTACATCAACACTTCTTCATATTACAAGGAAATCGTATAGTTATGTATGAATGTGAACCAACACTGTACATTACACTCTGAATTATACTTCATTTTGTTTAAAATGAAATTAAAGATATCATTGCAGGGTAGACTTGTGCTACGATAAGCTGATAAAAGTATTTTCTTTAATTTTTTAGAAACAAAAAAAAAATCTTAATAATTAAATAATAGATACTAAAATGTCATGCTATAATCTAATTTTGACTTCTGGTACAAAGATTCTTACAGTTGATACAAATATTTCGTATTAATTTAGTATTGATACTCCTATTTGGTATAGATATCAAATAGATTAATTTCAATTTTAAAACATGATTAATTATTAATTAATCTTACTTAAATACATATTGAATATATGAGCAAGTACATTTGGTCGGTTAGTCAAGTTGTTCATATTTGTTCTCTCATATTTCTTTAGGTTATGTTTTCTAGATCTGTTAGGAGCACTCGCCTTAATTCTCTAGAATTCTTCTCCTCTCCCCTCTAGGTAAGATTAGAATTAGATTAAAATTTTATAAAAAAAAAAGGCGAAAGGGTACCTGAGGCCCTCCACTTTTCCAAAAAAAAAAACAACGTGGCCCTCTACTTTTTTTTCACTCAATGTGGTCTTTTGACTAACGTTTTCCATCTTTGACCGACAGAGCTATTACTTTGTGTTGAAGTGACACGTTAAGCAGACCAAATCTTTTTTCTCTCTCAATATGGCCCACCAACTCAAGAAAATAACTCAATATGACCCTCATATTTTTTCTCTTCTATTTTGGTCACCAAGCTTTAAAAGTTTTCAATTTAATCACTCAACTTTTGAATTGCTCCTATTTTAATCATCATGATTTATTTTATTAATATTTATATATGATGTGACATTTTTTATTTTCAACCACGATTTCTTGTTTTTCTTTCATTACCAGATTCAATGAAACCAGATTGACCTTGTAAAAATATTGAAAACACTAAGGATGAGCTACTTGACCGGGTTCTGAAAGGGAAAAAAATCTTTGGTCGAAAAGGAAGAAAAATGAAATGAGAGGATAAAGGAGAGGAGATTTGAAAATATATAAAGCAGAGAGAATATTTTTTAATTTTAATTATAATTTTGAGAATATTTTTTTGTTTCAATATATTTTTAAAATTTTAATTTAATTAATATTATTTTAATCATATATTAATAAAATAATAATCATAAATGTCACATCATACATAAATATTAATAAAATAAACCGTGATGATCAAAACATGAGTAATTCAAAAGTTGAGTGATTAAATTGAAAACTTTTAAAGTTTAGTGACTAAAATAGAAGAGAGAATATAGTTGAGTAATGAATGGTATAATTTTCTCATTTATAACAACATTAAACAGAAATAGGAGGGCCATATTGAGTTATTTTCTTGAGTTGGAAGGTCAAATTGAGAGAGAAAAAGGTCCCATCAGCACAAAGTAACGACTTCTCACTCAACGACGAAAAACATTGGTCAAAGGATCAGATTGAGTATTTTTTTTTTCTAAATTAGAGGGTCACATTGATTTTTTTTTAAAGTGGAATGCCTCACGTATCCTTTTGCACAAAAAAAAAAAAGAACTATAGAATATAATCATTCTCAATAATATTTTAAATATACAACAAACCATCAAAATTATCATAAATTCATTGAAGTACAATTTTTTTGAAATATTAAATTGATCAAAGCACAAACAACATCAAAATGTATATGAATCACATAAATGTCAATTATAATTTTATCAATTATAATTTGTTCGTGAACTATGGAAGATAATAAATACTAAGATTAAATTAATTAACTTCCAGATGATACTTATCATTGAAGTGTAATTATATAAATTGTAAAACCATCAAAAGAGTGATTAGATTTATTGCTCTTCTAATCATTGATATGCTGCTGGTGAATTATACACTCATTTTGCAAATTTTGATTAAGGTGACTCACAAGGCAATCAAACTATAATTATCATCTTTTGTTTTTATTGATATTCGGGGACAAAACTTAAAATTTATTTAAACAAAATTTAAATACTTTTTAGGGTAAATTACAAATTCGGTAACTGAATTTTATTCTCTCCCCTATTTCACTCGTTGCACTTTAAATCATTTTATTTTCCTCACTGAACTTAATATCTTGTGTTTTTTAGTCACTCGGGTGTTAAATAGTTAACGGTATTAAAATGAACTGTTATATAGATGTAAAACGACATCGTTTTGGTGAAAATTTTGTTCTTTTAAAACGGTGCCATTTTTAACGCTGTTAACTATTTAACGACAAAGTGATCAAAATAGGAGAGAGAGTAAAGTTCAATGACAAAAAAACTCAATGAATTAAGTTCAGTGAGAAAATTGAAAATTTTAAAAGTTCAATGAGCAAAACAGGAGAGAGAATAAAGTTCAATGATAAACTTTGTAATTTACCCTATTTTTATTATTCAACATTACTCTTTATAAAATTTGTATGCTAATACTTTTGTATTAATTAAACTTATATATAAAGTAAACTTTAATTAATTAATGACTTCAACTGAATGGAATTAATGTCGTAACTAATTTACAACAACTCTCTTCGTTAGGGATATCAATGATTATTTATTAATTTTATTATATTTTATATTAATTGTGTATATTATCAAGAGCTGATTCAAGTAATATGCAAGACTTAAGTTCAAGTACGTATAGAAAAAAATCCCCCTAAAAGACTTACCCACAAAATGGAAGTGCGCCAGCCGGATCAATCCATATTATAGCAAATATGGAGGAGGAACAAAGACAAAAGCGACAGTTGAGCCAGTTGAACTAAGAAAATGAGTCGAACGAGATAGTAAAGCTTTCACATGGCAGATCCAAATAAAGTGTTTCCCACATAAAATTCTTGTCCTAAAACTTTACTAATTCGCCAGAATCTCTGGGGTTCCAACATCTCCTCCCAACAAAAAAACCCATCTTTCTATTCTCAATATCTCAAGTCTCAACAGTTAACACTACATTACCAGGATCTTCATTCCCTTACAACCTGTAAACTTTCTTTGTCAGAACCCATAAAAAGAATCGATGAGTCAGAAATGGAGGATATCATCATTTTCACCGGCGGAGAAGACCTCACCATTTGCGACTTCTCGATGCTCCCGGTGAAGTGATCGGCAAGTCCAGCTATGGGACCTTATACAAGGCCTTGTTCCAGAGGAGCAACTCGGTTAGATTGCTTCGGTTCTTGAGGCCGGTGTGTGCCTTGAGAGGTGAAGAGTTCTTCGATGTGGTTCGGCAGTTGGGGTGCATTAGACATCCCAATTTGGTGCCTCTGTTGGGATATTATGCTGGACCTAGAGGAGAGAAGCTTCTTGTTCATCCTTTTTATTGGCAGGGCAATTTGGCTCAGTTAATCAAAGGTAAGGTTCATGTTGATTATGTTGGATGCGTTTGAATGTTTTAAGATTTTGAAGTTGGACTGTTTGTTTTAGCAGATGGTAATGGGGAATCTCATAGATGGTCAGTAATTTACAAGATTTCCATTGGCATGGCCAGAGGACTAGATCACCTGCATACAGGGTTGCAAAAGCCAATAGTCCATGGAAAAAGTCTAAGAACGTGCTTTTGGATCGAAATTACCACCCGTATCTCTCTGATTTCGGTATATACTTACTCTTGAATCCTACTTCTGATCAAGAAATACTTGAAGCTTCAGCAGCCGAGGGCCATAAAGCTCCTGAGCTCATCAAAATGAGGGATGCAAGTCCCGAGACTGATATATATAGTCTCGGGGTGATCTTTCTCGAACTACTTTCGGGGAAGGAACCGATGGACGAAAAGCCAACACCGGATGAGGATTTTCATCTGCCGAACTTCATGCGAAACGCTGTTCTTGGTCATAGAATCAGCGATCTGTACCATCCGGACCTACTTATGAGTAACAATTATGATCAGGGAAATCAAGTTACTGAAGAATCTATTCTTAAGTTCTTTCAGCTTGCCATGGCTTCTTGTTCTCATTCTCCTTCTCTTAGACCAAATATCAGACAAGTGCTGGCGAAGCTCACAGAAATCGGCTAGTAGGAACCGGTGCATTTTGCAGAAGCACGGGCAGTGGCATGGGTAGTAGTTCATTTATATGGGAATAGCTAGAGTATGGTAATCCCGGGAATCAACAATTGTCATCCTTCAAGCATCCAACGAGGATCATAGAACTCCCGATAGGTTTGTTGGAAAACCGGATTTATTTATCATCAAATCATCTCCGTGGCAAAATAAGATCCAATCCAATCCGATTCAAGACACGAAGGCCGCATAATGCAAAAGATGTTTCAGCTTGTCGAAGTGCTGCTAAGACCAGGTGAATGCCGGAATAAAGCTAGGCTATGCCTATCAGCTGCTATTGGTGATTTCAGGATTAGCTAAAAGTTAACTATGTACATGTAAGAATTTTGTGCTCGAATTTTCTGTCATAGAATTTTGTATGCAAATTTTAAGAATTTTCCAGCATAGAGGTAGGCATATTGGGAAATAAACCCAGAACGAGTAATTTTCCTATAACCAGATTAGTGAGAATGCAAAATAAAAGTGGAAAAATAATATCCGAAATTGATAACGGAGTTCAGCCAATTTTGCTTACGTCTCCGGACTGCTGCAGATCTTTTACTAAGAGAGAAAATTTACAGGTGTTTACAAAACACTCACTACTCACAAGAAAACTCTCTAGTATTGGGAGAAAGAAAATATTTGAGATTTTTGGATGGTTTAGAAGCTAAATGAGCTAGGATATTTATAGTTAAAGCTTAGAGACTAATCTTTAAAAATACCCTAAAATACAATAACTAAAATGTAATTAACCATTGCTTAAATTCAAAAAAGTGAGCTGCCTGACTTTGAATTCAAGCCGCCCCACTTGAATCAATAGCCGCCCATGTTTATATTCAACAAGGCAGGCACAAGCAAAGCTCTGAATGAATTGATAAGCATCGAAACATTCAAATTCCAATGAATTATCTCCCACAAGCTCAGCTGTAGAACGGAGTTGAGCAAAATCATGATGCTTGCTAGAGCTATTGTCTTTGAAATTATACCTTATGGCTTTGTTAGGCCAACACAGTATCATAAATGAGCCCTCAACAGTTTCTTCACCAACAACAAAGTATCTAAAATGCATGAAATTGCAAGTCTACTGGATCGACATAGCCCCGAACCATCTCAAGAAACGATGCTGCAATCGGATTTAGATCGACTCGGTACTTCAACAACCACTCGGAATATTCTCTCTCCATTTCGGAAACAGTAAATTGTCCGAACCAAAATTCAACAAGATGCAAATGGCCTCCGTATTCTCCAAAATACCGGCGCGGCCTTACGTCTTTGTCGACGACTGGAGACATCGGGATATCTCTCATTTGCTCTTCTTCAACGTCAAAACATCGTTCTTTGAATTGCACATTACATGGTGCTACAAATGGATGACCCAAAGGCCTCCAGGACTCCAGGGGGCAGTTGCCGACGAGTAAATCTCCACCCGTAACGATCCGGCAAATCAGGCGATTTCCTAGGATAAAAAGCTAAACTGACACCCCAAAGATTTGTTCCTCGAACAATCAAGTGTTGGAAGTACAGTGTAATGCTCTGTAGTAGGATTGTATATGTAATAGATTGTAGTACCATTGCACAATAAGTTGCCGTAACTTTGATCGCTCATTTGCTTATTTGTTCTTTCCAGTTTGCTCCCCACTGCTTCTGTTTCAGCTATATTTTAAAAAGTGTAAACTACACGTTTAATATCTAAACTATTAGTTTTATTTTGTTTTAGTACCCAAACTTTCATTTGTTTCAAAATGATATCTAATGTTAATTTTTTTATTTCATTCTAATACCTCACCATTAATCATTTGTTTCAAATTGATATCTAATGTTAATTTTTTTAATTTAACCACTAAACTTCAAATTGATCCTATTTTAATCACTCCAATTTATTTTTGTTAATAAATTTTATTACATTAATTTTTTTTATTAATATATAATTAAAATAAAAAATAAATTTGACAGTTAGAGTGATTAAATTAGGAATAATTTGAAAGTTAAGTAATTAAATTAAAAAAATTAAACTTTAATTACCAAAATAAGAGTGAAAGGATAGTTGTATGATGAATGATACAATTTACCTATATAAAAGGTGTCACATACAACTAACCCGTTATATTTTTAACGGTAAGGTGCTAAAATGAAACAAAAATTAAACGTTAGATATGATTTTAAAATAAATGAAAATTTAGATATTAAAATAAAATAAAACTGATAGTTTAAATAATGAATACACAACTTACCCATTAAAAACAAACCGGTACTTGCTTCTTGAAAAGAAAATATTGTATCTATGGGGATCTTAGCATCTACTTGAAAATTTCAATCGTAGAAAGACCCTTAAGATAGAGAGTAACATATTAAAAAGATTTGATTAAAATTTCTAGATTTATTAATCATTAGTGATGACGATAAAAACAACGATTAATGTGATAATCGAGATCTGGATTGATTGGATAGAAGGGGAAAAAAAGAAAAAATAAGATATTTTTAAATTTTATAAGAATTCAAATCAATATTAGTTTGATGATTTTGTTAGAGATTTAAAAAGACGATCATTTTAGTGTGTCTTTCAGCTATCAAAGATGAGACTAGCTAATTTTGTACATATAGCGGCGTTTTTAAAACAAACGCCGCAATAAATCAGTGCATTAGCAACGTTTCTAAATACAAACGCCACAAAATGGTACATTAGCGGCGTTTCTGAAAATCGTCGCTATTTTCTTGTCTTTTGTGGTGTTTTATAAACAAACACCGCAATACATAAGTCCATTAGTGGCGTTTTAGATACAAACGCCGTAATAAATCAGTATATTAGTGGCGTTTATAAAAAACGCCGCAATAAGTTAGTGGAGTAGTGCGTTTTGGATATTTTATCATCAAAGGTTTCCCCATTTACCCAACAATAGCTACGATAGGAGGATTTCTCTCAGGTACTTCTTTTTCCTCTCTCTAATTTCTCATTCACTTCGTTGTTTTGTTTCTCTTTAAATTTAAAAATTTATGGGCTTGCTTCAAAATCTTCAAAGGCATTCTACTTTGGATTTCATTTTCCTTATTTTTTTCCAAATTATTTTTGTGATGGTTTAGGGTTTAGGTTATTTATGCAAAGCGGGTCTTGAAGGAGCTCAAGGATCTCCAGAAAGATCTTCAAAATTTAAAAAAAAAATCCTCATTTTGTTTCTCTTTAAATTTAAAAATTTCTAGGCTTGCTTCAAAATCTTCAAAGGCGTTCTACCTTGGATTTCATTTTCCATATTTTTTTCCAAATTATTTTTGTGATGTTTTAGGGTTTAGGTTATTTATGCAAAGCGGGTCTTGAAGGAGCTCAAGGATCTCAAGAAAGATCTTCCTACCTCTTGCAGTGCAGGTTCAATTTGTTCTCTCTTTTACTCTGTTTTGTGCCTTGATTTATTATTCTTTTTCTTATAATCCTCGAGGCTCCAACAATGTGTACAAAACTACAAATATGTCCTAAAGTAAGAAAATAAAAGAATTATTTTTTTGAAATATGATTTAAGAACAACAAGAGTGGTTAGGGGTGCAATGCAGGTCCGTTTTGGTTCCTGTTAGTTCTTAACTCAATGGTCCCAGGGCTGTTTCCTACTGTTATGCCAAAGTTTCTTGTTGGGAGGAGAGGTAATGGTCAGATCTAGCTAGTTTCGAGTCTGTTTTGGCTGGGATATATTGTTGTCTGTTTTTGAGGTGCATTGGTGAGAGTTCGATTTGTGTTTTTTGGGGTGGTTTGTGCTATATGTGTGAAGCTTGGCCCCGGTTTGTTTAATTGGGTTTTTGGATTTGGTTGTTTGCTTTTACGGTGTATTTTTTGTTGTAAAAAGTTTAAATCAGAAGTAAAAAGTTCCCAAGTACTAATCTATATGTTCAATTAAAAAAAAGCAAGTTGCAAAGGAGAAAGAAGAAATTTTTGTTATGTGCTAGTTTCATAGAAGAGTACTATTATATCTTCTATAATCCTTTGGATTTTATTGACTTATCTCTTTCCTTGATCTGTGTGATTTTAGGGCCGGCAAACAAGAAAACTGTCACCATTCAACCCGAGGGCAAAGACCAATCTGTTCTGTTAGCAACAACCAAGACTAAGAAGCAAAACAAGCGTTCAAGCTTGCTTCACAAGTCTGTCATGAAAAAAGAGTTCCCCAGGATGGTAAAGGCAGTAAAAAACCAGGTAAAGAGGCTTGTTTTACAAGTATTGAGGTTTTTGCTTAGTTAATGTCAGTTCTGAAACTAACTGTTGCACCTTGTTAAAATTGTTATTTTGAATTTATATGTTCAATGATATTTTATAAAACAGCGGTTTTAAATCCTAGCTGTTGAATAATTTTCAAAACAGTCTCTTAAGGGCTGGAAATATGGAATTTTCAGAATCAATTTGTGATTCTGAGGTTAGAATCCTTTGACTAGAAGGTTGTAGGGTTCTTGATTTCTTAATCTTAACCAAGAAAACAAGAGAGGTTTTTCTGATATACGAGCTAGGATTAACAGGATCTCTCATGCAGAAGGTAGAAATGGATCATTTACCCTTTTTTTACTTTAAAATTGAAGCTAATGATTTGCCTAAATAACATTTCACACTTATGTTTATTTGCAATTATATTCTCTTGGTGAGCTAAACGGAAATGGTTTCTACTTTCTGCAAGTAATGATATTTTTTTTAAGGATAAAACACAGTGGATTGATTTCCTATTATAGGGGAAAGGGGTAGATTTGATTTGATGGAGACTATAACTTCTTTGTCAACAGAAATAGATGGAGTCTAATCCATATTTCAGATCTTGTTTACTGAGTTTGCAAGAGTTGAAGTCCTAATAGAGGGGATTAACCAGGTAGTTTAGGTTAGCACAAGGAGCCTTTGTACTCCATATTCGGCTAATCTTAGTATGGTGATTTACTGTGTTGAACTCGTCATATAGTATAGGAGCATATAATAAAGAACGTTGCTGAGATTTTAATGTAATTAAAGAGAGAGCTTTTTGAACTTGAAAATATTTTTTCTTGATTATTCCTATTCCACCTAAAAAGATGTACATGTTAGCTGTAACCTGGAAATAAAACTGAAAGTTGTATAAAGTTGTACATACTGTTAGAAGAACTAGTCATAGTACTATTGATTATAATAAGGTTGTAGGAATAAAATTGAAAGTTGTCATCGAATTAGAACATAAACTGAAGCTTCTTCTACATGTATGTGCAGAGAAAGGGGTTCCTGATTTTTGGCTTATTGCAATCAAGAACAATGAAGTGCGTGCTGATAAGGTGAGTTGCAGTTGTACTTCTCGTCATAGTACTCTCTTTGGGTTGGAAATACCTGCTCATTTTTGCATTTTCTGTTCGGAATCAGATTACAGAGCGTGATGAGGGAGCTGTCAAATATCTCAAAGATATTAAGTGGTTTAGGGTAGAAGAACCTAAAGGATTCAAGCTTGAGTTCTACTTCGATACCAACCCTTATTTCAAGAATTCTGTCTTGACAAAGACATATCACATGATTGACGAGGATGAACCTATTCTAGCGAAACCCATTGGGTAAACACCATCACCCTTTTATTAAAAATGTCTTATTGGATTATTGCAATGAACAACAATGCCAAACTACATTACATTTAATTTTAATGTTTATAAATTTTAATATATTTTTTTGCATAACTTGTGTCTTTATTAAAATGTATGGTTGTTGTTAATTAGATAAAACTAGATGATATTAAATTTAGGTGATGTAGAGCAAAAATGAAATATGCAAAATCATCTTAGATAAATAAAGGTAATTTGAGGCATTTGTATAAAAAACGCTGCTATAGATATGACTTTTTGCGGCGTTTGTATCTTTTATAGATCTGACCTTTTACGGCGTTTGTTTCAAAACGCCGCTATAGATCTCGATCGTTTGCGACATTTGTTCTTAAAACGCCGCTGTAGATCTGACCTTTTGCGACATTTGTTCTAAAACGCCGCTATAGAACTTGATCTTTTGCGGCGTTTGTTTCAAAAACGCCGCTATAGATCTTGATCTTTTGCGGCGTTTGTTCCAAAACGACGCTATAGATTTTGATCTTTTGCGTCGTTTGTTTCAAAAATATCGCTATAGATCTGACCTTTTGCGGTGTTTGTTCCAAAACGCCTCTATAGATCTCGACCTTTTGCGACATTTGTTCCTAAAACGCCGCTATAGATATCGACCTTTTGCGGTGTTTTTCCTAAAACGCCACTATATATATCAACCTTTGGCGGCGTTTATTCAAAAAACGTCGCTATAGTTCTTGACCTATTGCGGCATTTTTTGTTCTCAAACGCCGCTAACTTTAGCAACACTGGTATGGTCGGTGCTTCTTGCGGTGTTTTTCCTATTGCCGCAAGTGCTTTTAGCGGCGCTTAAAAACGCCGTTAAAACTCATTTTTATTGTAGTGCAAGAATAATGTTAAAATTGAATGGTAAAATTAAAATAAATAAATATTGGTGACCCAAATAGGACTAAGAGTAAAGTTAGTGATGTAATTTATAATTTAACCAAAATATTTGTCTCGTTGTTTGTGTTCGTTTGCTGAAAGAAAAGTGAAAAGAGAGGCATCTACCTCAAATTTTAAACCTCTTGACTGAAATTTCCCTCTTTTTGGGATGGCAAACCCAACGATGTCTGGATTTCGTCTTCATTTGTAATATTTTAAGTATCGAATTAAAGTCGTATCAAGGTAAAAATTGAGGACTAAATCATAAATTTTTAAAGTTTCAGCTTGGTTTTGGAACTTGTGGGAAATTCATGGATTTGAACATGAATTATCCCATTTTTATGGGTAAGTGAAAAATAAACCCCTTTCCCTTGGTGAAATCCCTAAAACCTAGAAATTTCCCAAAACTCTTCCCCTATTTATGAACCCTGATAACCCAAATCCCAAACCAAGCAATCCCATTGTCGCCCCTCTGGTCAGCCCCTCCAACTGGCGGTTGATTGCGCCGTCGGTGTCATCGGCCTTATCAACTACTGGCGGTCCAACCCGACCCTTAAAACGTCGTTTCGATTGTTTTTCATTGTGTTAAGATAATGAGGGAGAGATCGTTCGGTTGCCCTCCTCGTCGTCCCTGCTTCGGCCGATGCTGCAGGTCATTGCCACCTCTAGTTGTCCCGCCTCGTCAGCCCGACCAAAACCCACCCGTCTTGTCATCGAAACCCTGCTCTGTTTATCATGGAAGAGGGTTTAAAAGCTCAACGGAAAACCTAGGCACCTCTCAATTTTTTGAATTTTCCGGCTACCATGATCGTTCTCTTGCCTCACCGCCATCGCAGTTGCGCTCCCCAGACGATTCCGATCAGAACCCGACCGAGTTTGTCATCTAAAGCCCTCCAGTCGTTAATCGTCGATTTGGGAGGGGGTAAGTTTCAAATTTTTTAATTAGTTTAAGCTGTTTTTGGTTGATTTAATGGTTATTGTGGATTGTTTTGGAAGAGTAGTAGCTGTCAGAGTGCTCGGTCGCCAACCAAACCCCGTTTCATCATCTTTCCCCGCTCTGGTTTCTTCTAGAATTGGTCTAGCCGGTCTAAACGACCCGAATCGATTTGATATGACCCGAACTATTGACCGAGTCAGACCGCTGACTTTTACCTATCAGACCGTTAACTTTTACATATCAGACCATTGACTTTGATTGGTATAACCGTTGACTGAAAAAGTAATTTTTTAAAAAACCCTATTTTATATTTTTCGACATCCTGAGTTCGAATCCGAAGTTTGTTTTGCCAAATTCGCACCTGATAAGTCGTTTTTCAATGTTTTATCTTTATATTCAAGTTGGTTTCTAATTTAAGTTCAGTTTCTGATGTAAATTCATTTGCTATGTATCCAAGGAATTATTGGACATTGAATTAAAGTTCGAGGACGATCGAAAGGAGATTAAATGTTTGATCGGTGGAGCACAGAAGTTGAGGTAATACTTTACTACTTTTTTGTATGTTTTTCAGAACTCACTGATAAATGGTAAATGCATGAATGTAAATGATTGGTCCATTAGGTGTAGTTAATTATATTTGGACTCATACGAAAATTGAATTAAAGACGGATCACGTATAAGACTCTAACGGCTCGAAAAAGAAATTTGTAGACTGATCGGAAACAAATTTCAGTTCAATGATTTAATTAGTAATCAATCAATCTCAGAAAACGTAAATTCTTATTAATCTCGTTAAAGATTAAAATGTTGGAAATATTTGGATAAGAGATTACCAAAAATAACACTATGGGGTAAAATTACGAAAATTCCCTTATACTATAAAAGGACCAAGACATCCCCTAGTAGTGAAAATAACCTCCAGTGATCAAATGAACAAAATACTTTGAACTCTAAAGGAACTAGAATACTTTCAAGCCTAAGTTATCCGAAGTAATGCCACTGACAGAATTGAATGAAATGACGATAATATCCTTAAAGTGTAAAAAGGAATATGGATGACTATGATAATGGAGACGACCTGAGAACTTATATCATGATCCATTAGAATCTTGGAATCACCGATTAAACTCCTGATTTATTTGGAATGCCCTTAAAGTGTAATATGATTCGAAGCACGTCAAAGCCTTGGAATAACTAATACCTTCAGCTCTAAAATGAACAAATCAACATCGAATACAAAAATGACTATATTATATGACCAACTTGAACTGAATGGAAGTACGATATGTAATCGAATTTGCGAAAATGACCGAATTACTCAGAAAACTCCTAAGTGACCGGGATAAACTTGAATACTAATTAAATTAAGTAACTCGATGACCTAGAATTTAGTGAATATTATAAGTCTGAAAACATTGATGATCTTATATATTATACCATCCATAAGGGCTTTGAACCACGAATCTAGCACGTCGACATTGCCTGATATCGTTGCAATATATAAATGAAATAAAGACCATTGGAAAATATGTTCGTCTCCCTAAGGTCCATTTAGCGATGATTCCGAAGATGATCTTTTGACAATAATTGTTTGTATTAAAGAGTGAATACCCTGGAAATGCAACGAATTGACCAGTTGACAAGCATCAGTGTTGGGAGTTGTTCAGTTTGAGTTAACTCGATATTCGATAGATCAACACAAATCCTAAATACCCTAAATGTAACACCCCCAACTCGTATCCGACCCGGATCTGAGTCCGAGGTGTCATATTGACTTTTCAAATCTTCGTTCTTTACAAATCCACTAAAAATCTTAATTTCATCATTTGAGAAAAATGAATATTTTACAGAAATTAATACAATCAAATTGTTTTACAAACCAATCAGAGCATATTCAACTCAATCAATTAGTACATGCCAACTATATTCAAAATAATCAAATACATTTAATTCATCTATTTTCTGATCTGAAACTTTGTAAGGGAGATGCTGACCTGTCTTGCTTCTCTTAGCTTCTCATCTCGCTTCTGTAACCTACGTGTGAAACAATCACACGCTAAGTATATGACTTAGTGAGGCATTAACTTATAAAAGTAACATTAACTACTTAACCATGCATATACATATCATCTCATGCTGTCACATAATCATTATATATAATATAATGCACACATATACACATCACACATTATTTCAAACACTAATCTTATTCTATTATCCATATTATTATCATTTATATCCTTTAATCATACCTAACCTTTTTATCAACATATAACTCATTCAAACCATTCACACATCATCATATCAATCATATAATACAGTTCATATCACAAAAGTATATACTTCACAAGTATTATATTCATTGTTATCTCTTTGTTTAGCCCATGTACACTTTTGAGAACTTAAGGTTTTTGAGTACATTGAGGTTGTGCATTATTATGTTGTCACCACAGCTCGTATAATTGTCCCGGAGGACCTATCCAAAGGTCATACAGAACCTCGGCAACTGTCCATAGGTCCCGAAGAACCTAGGTAAACTCTCCATATGTTCCTTAGAACATAGGTATACTGTCCATATGTCCCAAAAGACATAGGTAATTCTGTCCATATGTTCCTTAGAACATAGGTAAACCCTCGAATCTTGGCATGCCAACTATACCTCTAGCTCTCTTTACACATAACATGGGCATTAGCATTATGTCATTTCACATATTCATATAATCATATAGTTCACTTTCACCTGTTTTCTTATTTCTTGTGATCATATAATCACATAACTTTGTATCATTTTTCACATATTCATATCACATTCATATGGTCACATAGTCACGTAGTTCACTTCCATACAATTCACATATATATGTGTTCATATCATATAATCACATGTTTCCTTTAACATACTTTATATCTTGTACTCATATAAGCATATCACTTATACTTTCCCTTGTATATATCTCAACTAACTTAATCTCAATTCACATGTAGTTTTCTAACTTATCCCTATTAAGATTATTCAACCTAAACAAAAAATCTTGTGTATCCTATAAGTAAATACTATCTATTCGGTCTCACCCTTCCATTTACTCATATAAGTTATTTCTATTAATTCAATTTTACATAACTCCTATGTTATAGTTTCCTTTGAGTAT